CACTAAAGTAACAATTTAGTCTATGTACTTTCAAATTAATAACAATTTAATTCTTGAACTTTAATAGGTAACAATTTGGTCCTTGTAATTTAAAGTTAGCTACGATTTAGTCCTTATTGTAAACTTTTTTGTTAAGTTTCTTATATATATAAATTGATAAACTAAAGAGAGCCCCAATATTTTTATAAATTAGAAAGATTAAATTGTTATAAGATACAATTTAACACTTAGTTTTAATAAATTTTGTTAAGATAGGAACTAAATTGTTACAAATTTTAAACTACAGGAACTAAATCATTAGAGGTTAAAGTTTAGGGACTAAATTGTTATTTTAATGAAAGTCCAGAGAATAAATCATTTAAAATGTTTTATATGACAGCCAATTTCATTCCAATACTTAGCATCAATTTTGGGTTTGATGGCAGATTGTAGAGCTTTTGAATGGGGAGATGGAATTAATTAGAGTCGTAATCAGGAAAATAGAATTAGGCTAGCGAGCTCGAAATCTAAATGTAGATGGTGGAGTGGGCTGGGCCGACTTGACTTAAAGAAATGCACTCGGCCCATTTAAAATGCAGTTGGGCCAGTTAAATTTTAACTTTGGGCTAGCTTGAAGCCAACCTTTCAACCTCACCTGGTAGAGTGTGACTTAGCGTGAGAGTAGAGATTTGAACTTACAATCTATTGGTCATAATTAAGTTGACATTTGACAAAACGACATAGTTCAGTATAATTGGTATATATCTCAAACCAAGAGATTGTGAGTTCGATCCCCCACCTCACATGTTGTACTCGAAAAAAAAACAACAACAACAACAACAAAAAGATGTCTTTTCTTCTTCAAATTTAATAACGGTAGAAGACATAAAAGAGAAATGCATAAACATTTTCATACGTGCATTCAGATGATTTTTAATGGGTTAAGACATTATGATATTGTGAATTCATTCACTATGAATAACACATATGGTGCGGAGTAAGTCAAGAGCCGACTCCCCAAGACAAACACTCCAAAATTCTTTGTAGAATTGTGTGACATACATCGACCAACTACAACTATTTATAAAAGCAACTCGCTCTTTAATCAATCAGCCAAATCGGACTATGCTTAACCACTATCTTATTCATTCTTCTTATCTCTTTAAGCTTTCTACTCTCTAAAGCATATAATTAAATTCTAACTGACATTGTCAAAATTTGGAAAACGGCACCATATCGATATCTCTTATAACTCCGCAATCTTATTTCTAATATAATTGACAGGTAGATAGAACGATAAGGTCTGTTTCGGATTATTTCCACTAATTACAAATAGATTTATTATACTCTTAACTCTTAAGAGATATTTTTTTTTCAAAGTATACTAACAATTAAAAGATGGATCTTACCGTCTGAGATAAAACACAAACGGAACAAATAGACCTACTAAAAAGTCATCAAGGTACACCAACATAAAAGTCAACAAAATGCAACTAAAGTAGACAAATAGTAAAAGAAAAATCACCTGCCTCGTAAATGAAATACAATACAACAACTAATTAATGGAAATTATAAGTCTCAAGCAAACTCCATCAAAAGCCGAAAACTAGAATAAACATCACTCAAAGTAATAACATGTATCACTCAAAATAATATATACGCTCTTAAAATATTTTGCTACACACTAAAAACTAAAATATTCATCCATTTGGGAGCTCATACTACACATGTCTCCAAGCTACCTATGAAAAGAAAAAAGAAAAAAAAAATCATTTCAAATATTAAGCATATTTAAATAATAAAAAAAATTATTACATATTTTATAAAGAAGAAATTAAATAAGGACGTCAATTATAAAGGGAAAAAAAAGTACCTGTTTTTAGTTGTTTCTGCACCTAAAAAATTTGAAGTATGCATGTCTCCATCTTCTATTAAGTACCAAACTGCCAAATATTCCCCAAAAACCCACAATAAATCCAAACAACATGCTGATCATAAATTCTCGTACAAATAATTTGTCTTCATTTTCATTTTCATTCCCAACATGAACATTGTTGTTGCTGCTTGGATCTTGAGTGATTTCTTTAAAGCATTTTTTCAGTGGATCTCCGCAAAGATAAGGGTTGCCTTCGTAAGAAGAAGTTGAAAAGCCTTGAAGTTGAGTTCCTGTAGGAATTTTTCCCGAAAGATTATTGTACGACAGCTTCAATACTCCCAACCTTGATATTTGAGAAAAACTAGATGGAATTGGACCAGACAAATAATTTCTCGATAGATCCAGGGATTCCAATGATTGAAGTTCACCCATTTTGTCTGGAATTTGACCTGTTAATTCATTCATCGAAAGATTCAAAGTAATCAAACCAACAAGCTTAGTGATTTCATTAGGAATTTTTCCACTCAAATGATTGCAAGATAAATCGATGCTCCTTTCAAATTCCATTACTTGTCCTGTAACGAGTCTCTCTTGACCCTTCCACGTCAGGACATAATCATCCTCTTTATAAGAAGAAAATAGATAGCCACTTCCGTTTGATGTTTGTGTCAAGACATTGAAATTACCAATACAAGTTGGTATGCTCCCAGAAACATTATTGGATGAAATGTCCAATACTTCAATATTCGTGAGGTTGCAAATACCTAAAGGTAAGTTTCCATGGAAGTGATTCGACCTCAAATTCAGCAGAGTCAAATAGGGTAATTGTGATCCAATCCACGATGGTATTGTTCCAGATAAATTATTATTCATTGCATCGACAAATTTCAAAGACGTCAATTTGATCAAAAAACTTAACCCTCCCGAAAACTGGTTGTTACGTATAATTAAGGAACTCAAACTAAAGAGATTACTCCAAGAATAACGTGGAATCTCTCCATAAAAATAATTACTTGACAAATTTAACACGCCTAAATTAAGCATGGAATTCCAACAATTAGGAAGTTGTCCTGACAATTGGTTGTCAGAGAGATCCAAAATCAACAGAGGAGAGTTGACAATTTCACATAAGCAACTTAAGTCTGAAAAATCATTACTTGAAAGAAAGAGGAATTGAGCTCCAAAGAGGAAGGCAGGAATTGACCCAACAAATTTGTTTGAATGTAAACTGATATCAGGTGCTCTTTTGAACTCCAGTGACAAATTCGGAATTTCACCCATCATTTTATTCCCAGCAAGATTCAGAACATTCAATTCTGGAGACAAGTTATTCCAAAACCAACGAGGAATGATGTCTGAAATTTGACCAAATGAAATATCAATTTGGGACAAATTTTGTGTTCGAAGCCACTTGGGAAAAAATGGGCCCAATTTGCAATGTCCCAAATTGATGGAATCCAATTGAAAAGAAGGAACCCAATCACTCTTGAAGTTTAAATGCAAAGAAGTATTAGATAGATCCAATTCTTTTAAATTTGTAAGCTTTGAAAAATGAGTTTCCGAAACTTCACCCTCCAATGGATTAGAACCAAGATCTAAGTACTCCAAGTTTGATAATTGTCCCAAATTTTTGGGGATTGTTCCATTCAACACGTTGTCAGATAGTTCTAAATGTTTCAAAGATGGAAGCATCGTAAAATTTGGCAAGAATCCAAGAAATTTGTTACTCGCAAGGTTTAAATATTGTAATGAGTTAAGTACGCGTGGGTGAAAGGCTTCTAGAAAATCAGATAGCGATCCTCCTATACTATTGTCATATAAGTCTAATGAATTTAAATTAAGAAGACTTTTAAAGGACTTAAGAGAACGGAAATTAACTTTAGTGGAAGCAAGACGAAGAGATACAAGAGAAGTCATATTTCCAAAATCATCAAAGTTCAAACCTTCCAAATTGTTGGCTTCGAGATTCAAATGGACGAGACTGGTAAGGTTGATCAACCATGAGTGATAATTCGAAGAATTGAGATTATAATTGGAAGAGAGGTCCAACTGAAGTAGAAATCTAGAGAAATTGGTGTATGAATAAGATGGTAAAATAGGTGGTGGGAGGTTACAATTACTTAGCGACAAACTTTGTAAAAGAGGAAGCTTGTTAATGATGCCTACCCAGTCATTAGCACCGTGAAAGTCTCCGAAACTCAAATCGAGATGTGTTAAGGACGAAAGACTTGAGAGCCATCTAAGATTACTGTTTAACCAACTATTTGATCTGAGATCAAGAACCGATAATTTTGAAAGGTTCCCAAGATGGAGAGGAAGGGCTGTTGCAAACCAGTTATAGGACAGGTTGAGATAATTCAAATTGATAAGAGAACCAATATCCTTGAGGAGATCAAAACGTTGGAAAATGTTATGACTAAGATCTACGTAGTTGAGGTGTGACAATTGAGTTAAAGAAGAACCAACCTCACCCATCAAAAACTTATCATATGAGCCACGAAGATCAATCCCAATGACATGATAACCTTCAGTTTTGTTGCTGCATCGAACACCTCTCCAATTGCAGCAATCATTATTGACTCGTGTTTCCCAAGAAGAGAGTATATTATATTCGTCCATGAGTCCTTGCTTGAAGGATAAGAGCGCTTGTCTCTCACTCTCGACACACTTGATATTCACTCCCATAGATCGGTTGAATCCGAGGGCAAGATTTATGGGCATAGAAAGGAAAAAGAAGAGATGGATGGAAGCAAAGTAGCAAACTGGAGTGATGAACATCATTGTGGTGTGGCCTATGACTTTGTAAATTATGTTCCCAAATGCATCAATTTATTGTAAATTAAAGGAATTTTTTTTCCTTTCCCGAAAAAGAAACTTGTTTTTACAATAATTTCATAACAAGATATTATCAATTTTGTGTGGACGTTAGGGGCCAAGGAAAATAAAATCTAATTCATTATGACTACTTTCTGGGCTTTTAAATTTTTTTTGAAATAATTGGTTTCTTTTTTTTATGTGGATATTTGAACTTTTAGTTTTTTTTAATCTAACTCAGGATTAATTTCTAAGAGAATATTGAATAAATAAATAAACAAATATATGTAGAAGTTTGTAATAAAACAAATAAACATGTAAATAAGCTTAAAAAAAATCAGACTTTAAAATTATTTATGTTAGATATATATAAAAAAAACAATATTAAAAACAAAAGGTAGTGCAACATTTACCTACTAAAAATAAAAAAATAAAAAGCAAAACTATTTCATCCACATACGTCAGCATTTACAAAAGTAGAGAGAAGTTGTAAAAGAATTGATCTTATAAAAAATCAAAATTATTTCATCCACATATTATATTGGTCTTTTTTAGTACAATAATTAAGATAGTAATTCGAATTCACGATTTTTTTATCATAAATAATTGTCGGATCAGTTGAACTATGTTTAAGTTGGCTATTATTTTGACTATTTAAATCTGAAAATGTTAATAATTTCTCTTAGAGAAACTATTTTTCAGTTTAAGTAATGTTACGAGAACTTTTAATATTTTTAATTTGAAACTAGTGCAAAATTGTAACTACATGCTTAATATAAAACATCTAATTTAATTTTTGAAACAATTTGACAAATTAGCTTACAATAATAAGTATTTAAACACATTTAAATCTCTTCAATTAATTACTTTACAAGGGGTATTCCTCCCTACATACACTAATTCTTTTCCGACTATACTAAAAAAAACTTTTATTTGAATTTCTTGAGATGGGCGTATAAAATTATCATTCAAATAGAAAATAATTTCATTTCCATTTCAAAGGTACATATTTATTTTTTATTTTTTTTAGTACTTCTACATATTTATTATTTTGTCATAAATACTAAAACATTGATACTGATAACGTATATTTAGAAAGTTTTAATTTTTAAAAAAATAATTATTTATTATAAATCTCGCACATATGAATGGTGTGAATTGACTACTTAATTTCATCCATAGATGTCACTATCTTATATGGAGTGGGCGATTGAATATATCAAAATCATCAAAATAGAAAACACAATTAAAACACCTAGAAAAGTTGACGTATAGTTTGCTATTGTGTCCTACTTGAAAACTATAGACACTAGGAAAAAGTATTTATTGCAACATTTTTTTTTTTACAGCGATTTTGAAACTACAGCGAGACTTTATAAAAAGCAACGATTGCTAGCAAAACTTTACAGTTATATTGCTTAATATGTCTCTTAGATTTAGTAGTTCATTTTTCGTATCTCCTATGGTACAGTAAGTTGTTGGTCTAGCTCTATAAAATGTTGACAATTGATAATCACAAATTCATGTCTGTCGAGAGGCTATGATTGACCACCATAGAGATCTTTGAAAATCCATTCGAGTAAAAGTTGAGGGGCAACTAAGCCAATCATCAATAGATTTCATTTCTGTAATGTTGCATTTGGTAGAAGATTGTGGAGGTTAGTCTACTAAATCTCTAATAAGATCATACCACTCTGAAAATTGACACAGAATTCTTTATATATTTTTTAAATTTTCTTTTCTTTTCAATTCTCAGTGTGTATATGTGCTTTTTCCTTACAAATTTGGAGTTGTAGACAGTGGAATTCAGCATTTAACATTAACAAAAACTTGCTCTTCCTTTTATTTCTTCATTATCCTTTATGGCTTAATGTAAAACTAATTTTAACATATAAATAACTATGAAAAAATTTCCTAATTATTCATGTGCTATATGAGATAAAGGCGTTTGCATTAGTTATGGCCTATGGATAGACATCTTTGGATGGTAGTTCAAGCGAGCATAAAAATTTATTTTAGTATCCCAAACTTAGTGTATTTTGTATAATTTTAATATTATATTTTATCTATTAATCGAATCATAGAGCCAACCTGAATTAAAATTAAAATATCTAGGTCAACTTTGGATGAATCACTCTGATGACATGTTCCAAAGTTAAAGATAGCGGGGATAAAGTAGTGTTTTATTTATTTTTTTTTTAGAATATAAGTAGCTCTAACCTCAAGGATAAAAGGAAAATATGTCTTAATTTTAAGACTAATTACCTATGCTAATGTTGTCTACTTTCTAACGTAAAGTTGATCGTGTGAGAATATCTATTTAGATTAATATAATTTTGGCTGAGTTAGAATAAGTTTAGGTCGTTATTCTCATGCTGCTATCTTAACCTATTGATTTGACTAGTAATAATAACATGATTAGATGAAATTTGAAATGGAAGCATAAGTCTAAACCGATACAAGACATTCAAGTTATCTCTCCAATAATTGAAAATTCAATAAGAAAATAAGAAAAGTTTGGACGGGAGAAATATAATTTATCTTCCAACTCTAAATTTGAATTTAAAATATATTAAGTCTAAGACATTACTTTTCTTCTCATGTCACAATTTAAATAATCGTATCTCTCATCATTTTATTCTCGTGCCACTTTTTTATTGATTTCTTAAATATCGTGCCACTTTTCTATTGACTTCTTAAATGTTGTTTATCAAAATCAATCGTATCAACTAATTATCCATAAGAAGAATGAAAATTGAAATAGAAAAACTCCACTACTAAAATACATAAACATAAAATATATCATTAAATTTATCTAAGAAGTGGATTAAATCCTCCAACCCCGCCATCAGAAACTAAGCTATAAGCTAAACAAAACCCAATTCTCTCAAGAATCTCAAATGCGACTCGAGAAATATTTGGATAAAAATATACTTTTTATATCTTACAATTCCAATTTGATTACAAATAAATTCAAAAAAAAAAAAAAAAAAAGATTGCTAGAGGTGGATGACGGTTTGAAGAGGAATTTCAGTGTAATCAATCTCATCCACCGGTTCCATAGCCATCATCCCCAATTTCACCAAACTTCCAGTCGCCAAAATCGCTTTGGGGTTTATATCGTGCATCGATCTCGCGTACAACCTCCGAATCGCAGCAATGGCCGCGTTGAACAACGGCGTCGTTGTTTCGTTCTTCTTGCATTTGCTTATCAAACTCGTCCCCAGAAGGCAGTGCCCTAGCACTCTCAGAACCGGCTGAAGAATCTCCCACGGTAACGGAATTCTCCCCATCTCCTCTCCGTTTCCGTTTGATTCGTCGTTTTTCTCCTCGTTCCTCGATTCGTTGCCTTTGATTTCGTCGGATCTGTTAATTTCCCCGTCTTGCCCTGCCCACATCTCGCAGAATTCGCAGAATTCGATTTTCGAAGATTCTGGAATTTTTTCGATCTTCGTGTAG